AAATTTGGGTAGGCTAATCTTATGTTGCTTTCCCTGCCCTGTCCCAAATTCTTTCTTCTCTCTGGTTGGTAAAGTAGCTGTTAGATAATACAAAAAGAAAAACTTAAATGCTTCTTAAGGAGATTTTGGTTATATTATAAAGAAACATTTTTTTTGAAATCTGCTGTCACTGTCCTGACACTGACAGTGTCATGCTAACTAATAAAACTTATTATTTTTCAAGCAAAGATTTTTCTGAGTCATTGTACCTACATGTGTGTCTTGTCTGAGAGACAAATGTATACTCTTTGCCCATATGTAATTTTTTTCCTTGCTGCTTCTGTTGGGCAGCATGTCAAGGTTCAGAAATGGAAGGGTAATTCTAAAGGCAAAGGCTCGGAGTTTGCTGTTGTCCAGTAGTGTTGGGTATTGCGGACATTCTGGGAGAAAGTTCTTCACGCACCTTTCTAGCTCTGATGATGGAGAAAACACCCTTTAGCAATCCTGTTCCAGTGTCAGCATTCTCTGACAGTGGTACATATTCTGGCACCAAAAGTATGGGAGGTGTCTGTGCAGTTTTTAGTTCCCTCAGTCCAACTGCCCACCCCCGCCCCGCTTTTTTGTTTGTTTGTTTGTTTTGGTTTTTTTTATTTTTTTTTTTTCCCCCCCTCTCCAGACTCTGAGCAGGGTGTTCTTTAACTTCTGGTGTGTGACTGAAACTCTGCAGGTTCCTATTATGGACCATCAATGCATAAGCAAATTACTAAACTGTAATATCGTCAGTGTAATGGTTGTGCATCTGTCCATCTCGTGCTGGTCATCCTGAGGAAGCTGTGAGCCATTGAAGACTTGCTGTTTGAAACTCAGATCTGTTCAGTAGATGTTTGGTGCTCCCAAAGTATTCAGAAATCTACCTTGTGCATTCTGGCAGTTTGTCAGCGTACAAGAGACAGTCTCCTTCGCACAAAGACAAAGCACATCATCTTGCAGTATGTACAGCGAAATTGCAAAGATATGAGAAATATTCTGAGATAAAAAATGGATGCCAGACATTTCTGGCAGTTTGTGTTTTTCTCCTTTGCACGTATGGTTCTTGAGACAATCAAATCTGTATTAATGATAGTTCAGAGGATGCAATCTTTGGAATCACCTTTACCCTGTGCTGTTAGGCTGGGCTTGCTGTGACAATTGAACCAAGTTGTCCTAGGCTATAATCTCAGATACTTGTCTACTTACTTGCTTGTATCTCCCTGCCCATCTTGCTTCACCAAGCACTTCAGGGATTAGGAGTCTCTTGCTGATAGAACTAGCTGGTTTGGCTAGACTGGGGGGAGAAACTCATTTGGTGTTTGGAGTTAGCAGGGAGAGAACAGGCTTCATCTTTAAACATGAGAGATCACTAATGCAAGGTCTGCATTGGTGTTACTTGTTTCTGTCATATCCTTTTCAAGTAATCCTTGTCTTGCAGAATATGTGATGTGCTATTAGTTCCTTTAGGTTAGGAGGAAGGCAGCTTCCAGCCATTTTTGTTGCATGGTTTTCTACTTCTGGCCATGTCTGTTTTCATTACAAATGTGTTATGGTGTCACCTGCTCTTTTAATAAATGTCTGGCTAGTTAGCTTGTAGCAGAGACTGTCATAGCTCAAGATTATATCCTTTCTGATTTTATTTACTGAATTTGTGAAGTAATTTCTCTTACCAGCACAGGTTGGAAGATCTGTAATCAGTTCTGGTTTCTCAAAAATCAAACTCCAGTGGTCAGATATTGAGCTTTTTGAATGATGATAAGTTTGAGGCCAGAGCATTTTGTTTGTTGTACTTGGCCCTATGCTGGGGACATGGACTTACTAATGAATGTTGTTGTTCCTGCAGTTCCTAAACAATGACTGTTGTAGTTCTACACCCCTGGTTAGCAGCCAAACACTACAATAACCGCTCGATCACCCTCCCCACTCCTGGGGATGTGGGAGAGAATTAAAGGGGAAAGGGAGAAGAGGTGCATGGGTTGAGATAAGAACCACAGAATAATTAAACCACAATAATATTGAAAATAATAGTGATAATAATAGTAATATATACAATTATACAAATGAGTGATACATAGTGAAACTGCTCACCACCTGTTGACCAAGGCTCAGCCTTTTCCTGCCTAACAATCCCGGAGCAGGGAGAGTCCTGAAACCGCAATCCTGGAACGGAGATAAGAGTCCAAGTGTCTGAGAGACTGAGACGGCACTAAGAGAGGGGCAACCCCAAGTGACACAATCTGGAGCGAGAGAGAACTTCTGGACAGAGCCTCATCTATCTACTGGGCATGATATGGAGTGTCATTAGCCAGTTTGGGTCTCAATCCTAAACCAAAGGCTGAATCCTAGACTAGTCACTGGGGCTGTGCTCCCTCCTAGCTTCTCCTGCACCTGCAGACACTGGCCCAGCAGAGAAGCTGGAAAGTCCTTGACTGTCCTGGCAGCAACTATAAACATCAGTATGTGATCAGCCTTCTCCTCAGCACAAATACAAAACACAGCCTCTTACTAGCTACCATGAAGAAAGTTAACTCTGTCTCAGCTGAAACCAGGACAATGACCTTACCCTTAAGCACACCAAATGACTTTCAGTCTCATATCCATCCTATGAAAACTTGCTATGCATGGATGCAGTGAATGTATAAAAAGGGCTGTTTTTTCTGTTCTTCTTCACCATTCCTCTTACACGTACTCTTATCATTGGTGTCTTGGTTCAGGCTACAGTGTTTAGCTCTGCCACTTGTAGATGCAGGAATTCATTTCTGGAATGCCTGGATCACCTAGAGCTCTGTCAATAAATTTGTTTCTTGAGGGTTCCTTCCCAAATCCACTGTTCACATGCTGATGGTTGATGTGTTGATGTTGATGAGTTATGTGAACAAGCAGGGCAAGGTACTTGGTTATCATCCGTTTGTAAGAAGAAACATTGAGTCTTGTGATGAATGCCTTTCTTTGGGAACCACATTAGCTTTTCATGTCCTCAGTCCCAGCAGTGCTCTTACAGACTTCTTGAATAAATGGAACGGAATGGAATGGAATGGAATAGAATAGAGATGCTGAGTACGTCCTGCTACAGTCAGTTTTCAACTTGGTATTCCAGTTTGTCACATTCATTTGCTACAAAAAGGGGGATACTGAATAATTAGACTTTTGCTAAAGTGGCAGAATGCCTCCTTTCTTTGCCTCAGGACTTTTTTTTTGATTCCTCTGAATTCACAATAGCCAAAAAAATATTGAATGTGTCTTTTATAATCACAGTTCATTCTGCAAGTATGAAAATGTTAAATTATCAGACCTGTTTTAAAAAATACAGTTGTTCCAACTCTGACTTATACCTACTGGCTTAGTTGTTTATTTATTGGGCAGTGGTGTCAGCCTGTTCCTTTGCAACTGCAGTAAAGTGTAGACAAAGTAGGTAATTCAAATACAAACAAGTATTTTTGAAATTAAAATTAAAAAAAAAACAACACAAATTGTGGGTATATGAATATATATTTTTCTGAGACATGTATGGCTGGCATTTTTCTGAAGTGTTCCAGTTTGTTGCAGGTCAGTTTGTTTCAGTACAGTGTTAATTTTTCTTTCAGTGTTGAAAGTTCTTAAGAGCCTAATTTGTATTTGTCTTCTAATCAACCATTTCTCATTTTGCTCTGACTAGTATTCCTTTTGCTTTAAAGGAACTATGACAATAAACATGAAATAGTTCTCTGAATTACTGTCAGAATGATCTGTGTGCTGTTAACTTCTAGCTACTGTTTCTCCTAGGCAAGCTAGGTGGAAGACAGTGGGATCAGTGTACTCCAAGCTCTGAAGTATAGACATCTTTCACATGTCTTTCTGTAAGGACAAAATGGTGATGAAATCAGCTCCAAATTAATTTCATCAACTTGTTTCAGAATTCTCCTTGAACCAACTAGCCACTTTGTTGTCCTCCCCCAGCAGGGTTTGAGACGGGTAAGAGGAAGAGCTGCACGCTTAGGACACTTACAGAGCCATTCTTGGCTACCTCTTCTAGTCTAAGCCATTTGTTGCACAACTCTTTTCAGCCTTTAGGAGCCCGAGCTACAGCATAGTGGTGGGAGTGGATCAAAAAGTGCATGTGCAGCAGTGAACAGCTGTTTGAACTGCTGAGTCTCTAACCGGCTGGCACAAATGGTATTGTCTCTGTTATAGGAAAGTCTGAACAGAGTGGAGTCTAAACATCAACTTCTGCCTTTCATGCAGAAATACTAAATACTAAATTCAGGAGACTGGTACTTCAGTATTGTTTCCTGCAAATTCCTTATGCTTCTTGTCAAAGGAGAGCATTACATTGCCAGTCTTCTCTAGGGGAAAGGAGTGCTATTGATCCAGCTATTCAGATAACTGTTTGTCCCATAATGAATGGGGTTCCTTGAGTTATTGTCAGTGAGAACTTGTAACCTGTTCTCTGTGGTTCTTTTGTGTTACCAACATACTGGCTTTAGAAGAATGTGTTAATAAGTGTGGGTCATGTTCATTTTGGCCTTCATGCCTTTTATAGGATTTTTTGAGGAGGCAAAAAGAGTATGTACAGTTCTCCTTAGTTAATAATTCAAAGTGCATGAAGTATGTGTGTGCCTGCAGGGAGGTCTCATGTTGACTGTGACATGGAATTACTCTGGGTCTAGACCTATAGCCAAGTTACAGCCCATCATTTCATTGTGGTAGCTAATGGTGTGCACAGGTTTTACTTGAACTTACGCAAAGCAGTTTGAGGTTGAATTTGATTTTTTTTTGAAAGTTCATGCACTATTACAAATCAGTTGAAGGGCGACAGACTGGGCAAGCACAGTATTTAGGTTTAGAGATTCTGGCTCTGTTAAGCAGTGTCCCAAATGACTGGATATGAGGACAGAATGTTGAGTAAACTGGTTTCTGAAATTAAAAATGTTGCTGCTTGCAGTGCCTTTTTACAAAAAAAAATTGCTTTTAAAAATATTAATTAATTACTTGTTTCTCTTTCTTTTTTTAAGTATGTACAGAAAATATGATTCAACTAGAATAAAAGCAGAGGAAGAAGTCTTTTCAAGTAAGAGATGCTTAGAATGGTTCTATGAATACGCAGGTAAGGGTGAAATGCAACTTTCCTCCTAATAACAATTAACTCTACATTGGAATATAAAAATTGCATTAACTGAGTTTTTCCAAGACTGAATATAGAGGCGTTTTTGTGAGAGTCTTAAAGAGGCTTTTCATATGTTCTGTGTAGCATACAGTTGAAGAGTTCAAGGGTCTTTGTCTCTATTCTATAAAAAGAGTATAGACGGTGTGTAACTTCAAATATTTTGGAACATGTATACTTTACTATTCAAATCTATAGTTAAAGCTGTACTTCTGTCCAAAATGTTCTTGCCTCTCTGGCTTTCGAAGGTCTGTCATCTGCATGTTAGTACAGAATTATACTTAGGAGAAGTGTCTTGAATTTAAAAAAAAAAAAAAAGGTGGAGGAGGTAGTAACATTCATTTTGTTTCTGCTGAATCTGGTGCTTATGGTTTCAAGCAGAGAAGTGAATAAATTCAGGTATCCTGTACTAGTCTTGTCTTTATATAGTCTTCCATCACAAGGTATAGGGAAGGTAGACTGAATTATTTATTCTTACCCTTGTGTATGAGAACTTTCTTCAGGCATACTACTTCTAGTATTGTCAAGTCTGATCTGCAGTCACAAAAGATGATCCTTTAATAGTGAAGTTGGTTGTTGTATGCATTTTTTTGCGTGAGGTTTTCTGAAGGGGAGAACTTGAAGTATGGGGAAGAATGATCTCATGAATATAAAGAGCAAAAGGAAATTAAATAGGTGATTGAGAAAGAAAATAAGGTCATCTTGCAGTTACCTGATGCTGTCTTGGATAACGTTGCTCACAGCTTGTTCCATTTTGTCTACTTATGCATAATGAAGAGTGACTTAATTTGATGTAATAAAATATTTTTTTTCTTCTAATAAAATTACATAAACTAAATTAAATACTTCGAGGTCTCACTTATCTGTGGCAGTCTGTGAGAAGAGATTCAGACAAATTCAAGCCAAATCTAATCTGTTAGATTCTCTGCCTTTCTGACCAGCTTGATTTATTTTTTTACTCTGGCAACAGGCATAATTTATTTTTGTCAAGACTTTCGTGGAAAGAAGGGATGAAAGGAAGGCTGTATATGATAGAACTTTTGGGTTTCCGTTGGATGTATACACCAAGATAAAACACAGAGAAGTGGAGAGTGTGATTCCATTGAGTAACATTCTAAAAGACAAATTTTCAAAGAATAATCTCTTTTGTGTTCTTGCTTTGTAAGTCTTCTTTATATTTGCAGACAGTTGACACTGCGGTTTTTTTTCCCTAGTGTGTCTTTACATTACAGAATGAGTCTTTTTAAAGACTTATGTACGCTCAGAGAACTGTGAGAAGATGGAAAAAGATATAATTAGCCTTGTTATTTCTAGAATAGTAGGTCACTTAATAATAAAACATAGTTTGGTCTTCCCTTTATAAAATCTCTTTTTCTTGCACATGTGTTATATTGGATGAAAGTAGGCATTTCAGCCTCTAATGTGTTTTCCCAAATGAGCCCTTTTAAACATGAGTAAAATAATTCTAACAAAATAGTCCAAATATTTAAAATGTACTTAAAAGAATAGAATTGCACGGTACAGTTTTAATGCCTGTATAATTTTTTCAGTAGAGTATTGTAGAAATTACAAATAGCTTGATTTAACAACATGTTTTAATAGTAGTGCATTTTAATAGCATCTATATTTTGAATCTTTTTTTCCTTTTAAGTTGGCAATGAAAAAGCTGTAATTCATGTCTTCCTTCCCCCTGCAGTTGCTAACATTCAGATAATGTGTGGCCATGGTACAGTAATATGAATAAACAGGAGCAGAAGATTTTAATTTTAGGCTCTTTTTGTAGATAGCATTATGTAATGATAGTATATGAGACAATAAGGAATGAGGTTCTGGGAATTATAATGTCTTGTATCCTGTATAGCTGTGCATCACATTTTTATGTGATGTGATCTTATGATGGAGATTCAAGCCAAGAAATGATTTTCGGTAACCATCGTCCACTCATTTAACTGTCTTAAGTGCATTCTTAATCTTATTAATTTACTCTTCCAAGATTATCTCAGTAAATGGGTAGAATAAAGGATGTTGTCGGGAATTAAAGTCATTTTACAGTTTTTCTGTCTCTGTTTCCAAAGGTGATATAAAGATTTAAGTGTATCCAAGTCTGATATAAGTGCGGAAATACTGATTGTATGTCAAAACAAACCAAAAAAATCCTGTATGGAAGTTCAGGTTGTACTGTGTGATTGCATTCCTCTTGTGCTGTAAAGCTCAGACTGTTTTAATTTTCACAGATAAGTAAAATGCATTTTGTTTGCAGGCACTGATGACATTGTAGGGCCAGAAGGTATGGAGAAATTTTGTGAAGACATTGGAGTTGAACCAGAAAATGTAAGTTTGAGATCCATTCAAAAGATGCCTGACATGTTATGATGTACATAAGCCAGTCTTCTATCTCTTATTTTTCCATCAAGAAATAAAAAATTATTGGTAGTTTTAAAAACAAATTAAAGAAATATAAACCAGGGAAGTTTATATACACATTTGGAAACAATTTGGCTTTATTTTAAGCCCCAAGCTGTCAACCTGTAAAAACCTAATTGGTCTTTGCTGCCATCCTTTTTCTTTCACTTTCCCACCCCCTCTCAAAAGAGATTAAAAAAAAAAAATCAGCATTTTTTTTTTTTTGCCTATCTTTTCTGAAACAGTGAGACAACACTGTTGACTTAATGTGGCAACTACAAAACTACAAAGTAATGTTTTCTTTGGGTTAACTAGGAGAGAAAGTGTTTTCAAATATTGTGAGCAATTTTAGCATTCCCTTATGCCATTTCAAAACACAAGAGGAATATATAATTACATATATATTTCTGTTGTGGTTTATAAAGCCACAGGGACAGTTTTTGTTAAACACCTGGTGGGCTGAGGCAGGGACAGGGAGAGTTTCACTCACCACTTAGGGTCACAGGCAAGAAACCGACAGGACTTGGGAAGACAAGAAAACAACTGAATTTATTAACTATTTACAACAAGAAGCAAGATACTGAGAAAGAGAAACCACATCTTAAAAAGGCACTTCTCCCACACCACTCCCTTCTTCCCAAAGCCCAAAGGCTTTGTTCTGTACCTTCTCCCCCCCAGCGGCAGAGGGGGCAGGGAAT